TTGCAGATGCCCCGGCTGGGGACAAAGGCGCCAGTGGCGACTCGTCTGCATCTCCAACTTCATCGCCTCCATCCTCTTCTCACAAGATAACGACCTCGGGTCTTCTCAACCATTTGGTTTTCGCCATTGTGGGTGGATATACCCTTCTCTTCTTATAGGCTTCTTGGAGTAAGTAGTTATCTGCTATTGTGGAGTTCACATTGGTTCAATTGTCTCCCACCTTTTTCGTCACTTACTTTGTTAATTGGTTCTCTCCTATTCATTACAATTGTTGTACACAAATGGATTATTAGTATTTCTATTGGCAGATGATTGAATTTCATAATTGAAACATCTTACATGAGAAATTATTAGAGGTCTTAAGTTCAATCAGTAATGAATGAAAAGTGGGGCAACTGTAACCGAATTGATCAGACGGTTGATTTGAATTAGACATGCATCATCCAAAATACGAGTTAAATTATGCATGTGTTATTTGAATTAAAAATAAAAATGATGGAATAAGTGTGTCATATTTACATCAATGGTAAGTTCCACAGACAAATTGTTATGTATAATAAAAAGTACATTTTTAATATATTAAATATACATTATTTTTGTACTGTATGTACCTTATATAATATAATATACATCAGTATAAAAATATTGTACATCCCCTGAATACAATATATATTATTTTTAACTGAATGTATATTCTTTTACCTTGTATAAAATATGGTTACATTCATTTACAGTGTATAAAATATGGTCCATACAATAACGATTGATGTTTCACACAATTAGGCTTTGAGAATGAAAAATCCAATTGGAACCAAACACTTGTAACACACTTACACACCCACCAAAATCTTCCTAGAATTATGTTCATATCTGTGGTAGCACACTTCTCTTCTCACCTTATAAATGGCGATCATTTCAGTTTCCCATCAACAATCCATCTGGATTTCAACCAGAAAGGAAAATAAAATAAAAATAAAAATAAAAATCTAAAAAAATAAATATTACATAAAAAATCAAAAAAAAAATCAAAAAAAAAAAAAAACAAACAAACAAACAAAAAAGGGATGGGTTCCAAGGCGATTCAAGCTTCATTAATTTTTTTTTATGTGGCATATCTTGTAGCAACAGTACAGGGTGTTGAAGTTAGCGTTAAAAAATCTGGTGCAAAAGGCGACGGGAAGTGCGATGATGCTCCGGTACAAACATACATGCAATACTATATCTCTTTCTCTCTCTCTCTCTATATATATATATATATATATATATATATATATATATATATATATATATAGTTTGATTTGATTGTATTTTGTGGTTTATTTGAGTAGGCTTTTAAGAAAGCTTGGGGTGAGGTATGCAAAGCGGCGGCGCCGAGCACGTTGAAAGTTCCGGCCGGCAAGTATATGGTGGGTCAGATTGGGTTTCTAGGTCCTTGTAAGAGTGCCATAACATTTGATGCGGGAGATGCCACTTTTATCGCGCCAACCGACCCCACTGCGTTCAAAACAAAAGACGGATGGATTTTGTTCAGCATGGTTAAAGACTTGACGGTTACCGGCGGCACTTTCGACGGTCGGGGTTCCGTTGCCTGGAAGATAAACAACTGTAACAAGAATTTCAACGGAAACTGTAAAAACCTCCCCATTGTAAGTACTCAATCCGATCGAGATCTTTTATTTGTTTATTATTCATTAAGAATTCAAATGAATGTATATATTTTTAAATAGAACCTCAACTTTGGTACGTTGACGAACGGGGTGGTGAAAGGAGTAACGTCGGTGGACAGCAAGTTTTTCCACATGAATGTGATACAGGCCAAGAACCTAACCTTGAGCAAAATCACTATCAAGGCGCCGGGGGATAGCGCCAACACGGACGGAATCCACATCGGCCGTTCCCATGGGGTTACCGTCGATGGTGCTGAAATTAAGACCGGCGATGACTGTATCTCCTTCGGGGACGGTTGCCAGAATGTGACCGTCGAAAATGTGAAGTGCGGCCCCGGCCACGGAATCAGTATTGGAAGCTTAGGAAGATACCCTAACGAACAACCGGTGATGGGAGTGACGGTGAAGCACTGCAAACTCTCCAATACTCTCAACGGCGTTAGGATCAAGACGTGGCCGGCGTCTCCGAACGGCGTCGCCTCCGGCATGCACTTCGAAGATGTGAAGATGGACAACGTCAGCAACCCAATCTTGATCGATCAGCAATATTGTCCCTGGAATCAATGCAAGGCCGGCGTCCCTTCGAAAATAAAGATCAGCGACGTTAGCTTCAAGGAGATAACGGGGACGTCGGCGACGAAGGTGGCGGTGAAATTACTGTGCAGCTCCGGAGTACCGTGCAACAAAGTAGTGCTGAGCGGGGTGAAGTTGGAATACAAAGGAACCAACGGCAGCGCCATATCGGAATGTGACAACGTGAAGCCAACACTCTCCGGCAAAAATTCCCCTGCAATTTGTGATGCCTCTAAAAAAGGTGCCCCTGAAGGTGCCCCTGAAGGTGCCCCTGCCCCAGGTGCCCCTGCCCCTGCCCCTAAAAAAGCTTAGCTTAATCACTCTGTGTAATCCCGTCTCTAATTAGAATTAGACTTAATTAAATAAATAGCGCCCCCTACGTGTTTCTCTATATGCACGATTGAGTGGTGAAATTTGTTACTACTATTTATCAATAATATCATTCATCTTTTTGTTTTTTTTTTTTAGTATTCAATATTGTTACAAATTTTCATATGAAATATTTGTTTGCAAGGGCTTATATATAGTTATGACTAAAAGGAGTATTTTATGTCACATTATAACATTTTTTTGTAAAAAAATTATAAATGCTACGAATTGAAATTTGTAAGGAATTTAATTTAAAATTTTAGTGATTTTTGTAACTTTTCTAAATAAAAAGGTTCACACAAACTAATAAAAGTCAATAAATATTTTTTTTATATTGACTTTTAAAAATTCTTACAAAAATTTGTATTCTCTATGAAATTCACTAAATATTTATTAAAATCTCTAATTTTAACAGTTTGTATATAAATTTTTGTTGGATAAATACCAACAAGTGTTACTGTAGTTTTAATTTTAATTGACTTTACACACGTCTGTAGCGGATGTAATTATCCTTCATTATTGTATGTTTTTATTGTCATTGTATTATGATGAAGATGGATGAACAAGATGATCTTCTTGCCTTTTCTATTCCTCCCATTACTTATGTTTTCATTATTTATGTGTGTGGCATGCAAATCATGTAAATATAATGAACATGTACTACTTGTGATTTATTATATTACTTGTGGCGTGCAAAGCTGTGTAATTGATATACATTCAGTGTGCTATTTGTGAGGCGAACATCAATTTGCATTAAGTAGATGGCTTCTTTTATTTGTAGTCTTACAATTCCGGTGGTTGTGGTTTGATTGGTTTCGGTGGTTTCGGACGTCGAAACGACGTCGTTTTTGCAACCGCATGGTGCACACGGTTGCATAGCATAACGCTCCGTCTTGTGTTGTGATTTTTTGTGTTTTTGTGTTATTAAATTTTATATTTGAAATAACTTATTAATTGTGTCTTATGTTATGAATTTCCTGTATCTTGTGTTGTGAAATTCTATGTATGTGAACAAAAATTATGTACTTAAATCAGATTTGAAAAAATATGTAAGTATATAACATGTATATGTGTCTTGTGTTATGAAATTATGTACATTTACGGGTATGAATTATGTACCTCATCGCTTCGGTTCAGGGTCTATAATTACTTAAATCATATTTGAAAAATAAGTAAATATATAACATGTGTATGTGTCTCGTGTTATGCTTTTTTGTGTCTTGTGTTATGAAATTATGTAACTTACAAGTATGAATTTTGTATCTCGTAGATTCGACCCAGGGTTCATAATATTATATGAATCCTGGTCCATGATATAAATTGCTCTCTACAGATACATAACTTGAATGTCGTTTTGCATTGTGGTAATTGTTATGCCATGGAGGTCCAAAACGACGCAGCTTTGTGCATATGGAATAACGATGCCGTTAGTGACACTGTTTAATCAGCTAATGATATTTTTGTGTGTGTGAATATAGAGTTAAACAATTGTGATTATAGAGTTCAAAAATTGTAAATATAGAGTTTTGTAATTGTGAATATTGAGTTTTGTAAATTTGTATATTAAGATCTAAAATTGTGAATAAAAAATTCTGCAATTGTGAATATTGAATTTTGTAATTTTGTATATTGAGATCTAAAATTATGATATAGAGGAATGATTTGGAAGACAAATGGCAAGTCAACAGTAAAGAATGAAGCAATTTTTTTTTCTTTTTTCTAGAATGTAGACTTCAAAACAACGTTGTTTTAGACCCGATCCGGATCCATAGCATAATTTGCCGCATTTGGACATTGGTCCATGGTTATAAGAATTATATCAAATATAGCTTTGGTGTGGCCCAACATAATTGTTCGATGGCCCAATAGAAAGCCCAGTAACACCTGCAACATGGCTTAAGCAGTTATGGACTAATGGCGAATCTGCACGACTGTATGTTGGATAGTTACGGTGCATACGGATGCCAAAACGACGTCGTTTTATTAAAAAACGCGCGTTTCCCTTTTAAAAAAAATTCAGGTTCGATTCCCAGTAACAACATTATATTGTTCATTCATTCTGGAATTTTAGTTCATAGATTATGGAATTATAGTTAATTGATTATGGAATTATAGTTCATCGATTATGGAATTATAGTTCATCGATTCTGAAATTTTAATTTATAGATTATGGAATTTTAGTTCATTCATTCTGGGATTTTTAGTTCATAGATTAGATTATGGAATTATAGTTCATCGATTATGGAATTTTAGTTCATATGTTATTGTTGGGAATCGAACCTGATTTTTTTTTTTAAGAGGAGACGCTTGTTTTATTAAAACGACGTCGTTTTTGCATCCGTATGCATCATGCATGGTGCATACGGATGCACAGCATAATTTGCCCTGTATGTTGACGCAGATAGAGAGAGAGAGAGAGAGGAGAGGAAAATGAAGGTGAGCGTACAAGGGGAGAAGGTGGTGCTGGTACCGTACATGAGAGAGCACGTTCCGAAGTACCATGAATGGATGCAGGACCCTTCTCTCCTCCAAGCTACTGGTTCTGAGCCGCTAACCCTAGACCAGGAATATGATATGCAGCTCTCTTGGACACAAGATCCCTTGAGTAACTCCTAATACTTCACGCAATTGATTCTACTCAAACGCGTTTGATCGAATAGGTGTTCTAACCTTTTAACATTTCTGTTTCTGATTTTGCAGAGCAGACTTTCATAGTGTTGGATAAGGAGCTGATTGTTGGAGACTTCTTCCATGGGGACGCGCATGTTGAAGGTAGGTGATTTGATCTTCTGAGAAGTAGAATAGTTCTTACTTCAATAGTTGCAGATAGAACCTAATTTCCAGAACTGTTTAGGCTGAGGGCTTCTGTAATTGCTTACCACTTCTCAATTTACAAATTAACTTTTGCTAAGAGATTGTGCTTGTTTATGGTGTGCATTGTTGTTCCTGATTCTATGCTCTTTTGTCAGCCATGGTTGGTGATGTGAATATATATATGAATGACTTGGATGATTCCCAGACTGCTGAGATTGAAATAATGATAGCAGAACCCAAATGGTACAAGCATTTGCATTTCAAGTTTAGTAATTGTGTTATGTCATTGTCGAGAGCTCTTTTCCAATTTGATACATCTTCCAAGTTTCTAACCCTCCCTAGACGGTAGGTAGTTGGTCAGAATCTATGAACCTAAAGAAATATCCTGTTGGCTGGTGACCTAAATCTTTTTGGAAATGAAGTATCAGAGTATGTTAACTAAGTACAATTTGCCTTGCTCTGAAGTTGATCTTTGCTTGGTAATAATACTGATTAACCTCAAGAGCAAACGAGGAATCTGATATCTTGTACTAAATTACTTAATTGTGTAGGGACTATTCCATTGTATGCAGTTACATTGATTGTCGTATTTACTTTTATTCTTGGAATTTATGCAGCAAGTTTGTTAATTTCTTATGTATCGCCTGTCCAATGAGTCTGATGTCTTTTTCCTTGTCATTTCTCTGAGTTTTCCACCTATCTTTTATATATTCTTTTTAGTTTTCACTTGGAGTTCTTGCTAGTGTAGTCGCGGCAAAGGGCTTGGTAATGAGACTGTTCTTTTGATGATGGCATTTGCTGTGGAGAAATTTGGGATCCATACCTTCCGTGCTAAAATTGGAGAGTCAAATAAAGCTTCTCTCAGCCTATTCCAAAAATTGGTATCTCAGTCCTCTCTGTAAAAACACACGTGTATTCATATTTTACTAAACTAAGGCTCCATCATGTACCTACAGGAATGAGATTCATTTATTTTTGCATCTTTCGACTCTCCATTGTATGAGAATTGTTTCATTTGGCCAGGGGGCTCTTATGGGGCTGGATTGAACATGCATTTGCCATGTTTAATGTAACGTTTGCATTGACAAATCTGAATCACCAAAAAAAATTCTTATGTTTTTTTGTTTTTGTTTTGGTAGGGATTTGTGCAAACTTCTTACAGTCAAATCTTCAGTGAGGTGAGTTTTGAGTTCTATTACATACATGATACAACAGCACATAATGTCACATAGTGGAAGTTCCTTTTGTCCCAAACTACTGCGCGAAAAGGAGAAACTGCGTTGATGAAGTCTGGGCAAATTGTTATGTTTCCTAGTATATATTAATTTGACTGTGAAATTTGGTTATCTTAATGATACATATAGTACTCAAATATCAATGGATCCATCATCCATCCAACATGATTACTCTGATCATCCCAAGTATTGGAAAAGCTAAATCCTCATTTGGTTTAGTATTGATTGATGTTTTCATCGGACAGGTAACACTGGAGTTACCAATAACCCAGGCAAAAGGCAAGGAGCTGCATCAACTGATTAGCAACGCGGTTACACATTCATAACTATTGGAAGATCTGTACTTTATCGTGATTAGAGAGAGATTCCAAGTCTGCTTATGAGCTTATATATCCAACCTGTTCTTCTCTGGATTGCTTCCAAAACCCCTCCACCTTAGCAAGTCAGATTGCCAGATTGGGACTCAAACTAATTAAGCAGTGATAGCTGATTATCATGCCTGTATTTGGTTGCCAACGTTGGCATTGCTGTATATCACTTTCTGATGTGATGGGATTTTTATACACTTATCATTTTTCAATAACAAACCGGCTTTGTTTCCCTACTTTATTTAGCACTTTTTTTTTTTTTTTTTTTTTTTTTTTTTTTTTTTTTCATTTCATTTAACTCAAACCATGTGTGAATAACAAACCACCTTTGGACTATGAATATCTAAATCTGTGTTTAGTTACCAATCGTTATACCCTGCACTACGGCGCACATAGCACTGTGCTCCCCGCACTTTTCAAAACGATGTCGTTTTAATAATTTATGTAGGGAGTTGATGCAATTATGCACATTATGGTATATAATTATGTACATTTTTTATACAATTATGTATTTTTTTTATACAATTATGTATATCTTTTTTATACAATCATGTACATTCGAAACAAGGAATTTATGTGCATTACATTAACTGTTAAGAGTTTATATGTATTATATTAGATTATATATATTATCTTTTCAATTAAAAAATAAGAAAATTAACGACCAACACAGAAAGCGAAATTTCCAAAAAAAAAAATAAAAATAAAAAATTCAAAACGACGTCGTTTTGTACTAGGATGTACAATGCAATGCGCGCCCTGGTGCACGACATAAATTGCCTTTATTTACATGGAAAGGTTGACATTTTCTAACTAAGAGATAGGAGTCGCTAAATAAGGAAGAGAGATCCAAAAGATTAGGAGTTCCAGTTGTGATTAATTTCGTGGTAGCAAACTTCTCTTCTCACCTTATAAATACACACAGATCATTTCAATTTCCCATCAACAATCCATCTGGATTTGAACCAGAAAGGAAAAATAAACAATTAAAAAAATCTAAAAAAATTAAATATTACATAAAAAAAAAAGATGGGTTCCAAGGTGATTTTGATTTTTTTCTATGTGGCATATCTTGTAGCAACAATACAGGGTGTTGAAGTTAGCGACGGGAAGTGCGATGATGCTCCGGTACAAACATACATGCAATACTATATCTCTTTCTCTCTCTCTCTCTATATATATATATATATATATATATATATATATATTATAGTTTGATTTGATTGTATTTTGTGGTTTATTTGAGTAGGCTTTTAAGAAAGCTTGGGGTGAGGTATGCAAAGCGGCGCCGAGCACGCTGAAAGTTCTGGACGGCAAGTATATGGTGGGTTAGATTGAGTTTCTAGGTCCTTGTAAGAGTGCCATAACATTTGATGCGGGAGACGCCACTTTTATTGCGCCAACCGACCCCACTGCGTTCAAAACAAAAGACGGATGGATTTTGTTCAGCATGGTTAAAGACTTGACGGTCACCGGTGGCACTTTCGACGGTCGGGGTAGATAAACAACTGTAACAAGAATTTCAACGGAAACTGTAAAAACCTCCCCATTGTAAGTACTCGATTCGATCGAGAGTCTCTTATTATTAATCTATTCTTTTATTTGTTTATTATTCATTAAGAATTCAAATGAATGTATATATTTTTAAAGAGAACCTCAACTTTGGTACGCTGACGAACGGGGTGGTGAAAGGAGTAACGTCGGTGGACAACAAGTTTTTCCACATGAATGTGATACAGGCCAAGAACCTGACGTTGAGCAAAATCACTATCAAGGCACCGGGGGATAGCGCCAACACCAACGGAATCCACATCGGCCGTTCCCATGGGGTTACCGTCGATGGTGCTGAAATTAAGACCGGCGATGACTGTATCTCCTTCGAGGACGGTTGCTAGAATGTGATCGTCGAAAATGTGAAGTGCTCAGTATTGGAAGCTTAGGAAGATACCATAACGAATAACCGGTGATGGGAGTGACGGTGAAGCACTGCAAACTCTCCAATACTCTCAACTGAGTTAGGATCAAGACGTGGCTGGCGTCTTCGAACGGCGTCGCCTCCGGCATGCACTTCGAAGATGTGACGATGGACAACGTCAGCAACCCAATCTTGATCGATCAGCAATACTGTCCCTGGAATCAATGCAAGATCGGCGTTTCGTATTTTGGCGTTTCGTCGAAAATACGTTAGCTTCAAGGAGATAACGGGGACGTCGGTGACAAAGGTGGCGGTGAAATTACTGTGCAGCTCCAGAGTACCCCGCAAAAAAGTAGTCAAGGAGATAACGGGGACGTCGGCGACAAAGGTGGTGGTGGAATTACTGTGCAGCTGCGGAGTACCGTGCAACAAAGTAGTGCTGAGCGGGGTGAAGTTGGAATACAAAGGAACCAACGACAGCGCCATATCGGAATGTGACAATGTGAAGCCAACACTCTTCGGCAAAAATTCCCCTGCAATTTGTGATGCCCTTAAAAAAGATGCCCCTGCCCCTGCCCCTAAAAAAGATGCCCCTGCCCCTAAAAAAGCTTAGCTTAATCACTCTGTGTAATCCCGTCTCTAATTAGAATTAGACTTAATTATGTGTTTGTGAATAAATAGCTTAGATCAGACCAAGGACCTTGTAGTCCAATAGTATTATGTTGCTCCCCTATATGGGAAGTGATAGGTTCAATAACTTAGATCAGTGTGCACTGCACCAGATCAGTGGTCGTGTTTTTTATATATGCACGATTGAAAGGTGAAATTCTTTTTTTTTTTTTTTAGTAGTAGTACAATATATCTTTTCTATTCTATTTGTCTTGTACTTTATATTTCATTCAGTTCATTATTTGGGTGACAAGGAAAATCGGCAGTCACTAGGTAGGTTAATTTACTTACGTTAACAGTCAAACTTTGAATTAGTAGTATATAATTAGTTGAAGACGCCAGGCAAGCGGTGTTATGTATAGAAAGCTAAGGGCCCTTTGGGTTGGGGTTTAACCTTTTGGAAGAATGTATATAAAGCTAAAGCTAAGGATGAGCACCCCATGAGTGGTGAAATATAATATATAATATATATGTTGTTATCCTATCATTCATCAATAATACAATTATTGGAATTTACATTTAATTTGTCTTAGTTCTCTATTAAGGCTAATTAATTGCAGAATATAATGAAATTGGCACCAATTGCGGGCCACAACCCCAAACCCGCGACAACAACAAAACACTCACTATATATATATATATGTGTGTGTGTGTGTGTAATTTTTACTACACTATTAAAAATGTTAATTTTGGTGTTCGTATATAATTCATGTCTTTTGGTCAATTTAATCAACAATTTTAATTATTATTATTATTATTATTATTATTATTATTTTATTATGTTAAACAAATAATGAAAACGTAAGTAAAGATAAGAAGTAATAGACAGAAAAAAGGAGAAGGCAGGAAAATCATCTTGTTCATTCATCTTTATCATAGTACAATGATATATAGACAAGATACAATAAAGACATACAATAATGAAAGATAATTACATCCGTTACAAACGTTGCAAAGCTATTGTATTTTCGACAACTATAATACTTTCACAAATATCTCAAATCTCTCTCATATTTATAATTGTTTAGGACAATATTTAAGTAACCAGATTCTATACATTTCCCAGAACTATTCAGATCACATCTAATCATTACGCTTCAACCGGGTTATTCTATTCAACCTCTTAAAAAGATAAAGAACTTCAATCAAAATCAAAATACTTATGCATGGTGATACAATTATACAAAACTTATACCCCGAGTACACGCAATGAAACCGTAAATGGTCAAGTGAAATCCACTCGAGGAAAGAATTTGATCTCTGGACAGCATCGTTGTGGTAAAGGATAGATTTTTGACGAAATGAAAAAGACATATATGGTCGAATCGTAACCATAGAATACGACCCTAATCGAAATGTCTCGCATTCTTAGTATTATGTTTGTTTGGTGCACCTATGAATTGACTAGGGTTTCTCATCATCTGGATGAACGGACAAAATTTATTCAAGTTTTTTCAAGAGTGACAATGTTTATTTACTAGATCTAGTATAATTCTTATTTCTTACACCGATGGATCTCCTATACTTCTGGCATCAGGAGTATCGATAGATTTATTTGGTCCAAGTTGGCAAGGTATATGAGACCTAGTTACTCTTTTATGATCATTATGATCAATAGATATGTTTGACAGTTCTTTCTAACTTGTACATTGATTTAAATAATGAAGATGTTTTCATTCTATGGAATTTCTTGGTATTTCATTAAAAATTAGTCTATTATCTCCCCTAATACCGAAAAACAATCTTCATTAAGTATGCAGTCAGTGTACCTAATTATATGTATTGATCCCCTATCATGGGCTCTTGGCTCTTTTAGAGGTACGCTATGGTGGTGATATAATAAGATGGACTGCATACTAAGAATAGAGACGCAGATTAGGAAATGTTCAATTGAGTTAATTCCACCAATAGTCCTCCGACTATTGCGATTTTCCAAAATTAGTCCTTAACTTTTAATTTGGACAAAAAAGACACTTGACTTTTTAAAGTGTTCCACCAAAGGTCCTTCCGTCCAATAAGAGTTTGTTGACCGTTAGTGTAGGGGGCAATTCTGTCTTTTCAGTATATTATTGTTTTCTTCTTCCTAGTATATCAGTACACTTACGTTGCTTGGCTTATTTGACGCGATCCAGCTTCGCCTATGGCAGTTCCGGCAGCAGTCCAGGCTGGCGATGGACTCTCTCAAACTCTCGGAGACGTCGTGGAGGCTCAACAGAGTGATCGCCGAGACCAGATTGAAGATCGACTGCCGGCTGCGAAGTCGGGGGTTCCGAGTCGTCCGTCGCATGTGGAGTCTTTTCCGGCGATGGTGGCAGTGCATGGCCAATCAGAGGGCGGAAATGGAGAGGGGAGTGCATCACGATCCTTTCCCCCCCAATCAATTTGACGATCGCCAACCTCCTGAAATTCTGGGGTCCGAGGGATCGCCGAGGGATTCCGGCCGGTTGCGGATGCTGACGTCGTTCGGGATGGTGAGGGGAATCGCCGTATGGTCGAAACCAACCACCACACCTGTCAGATTACTTCTCCGGCCCGGATGCACATCGACAGCCTTCGGCTGAGATTGATGGAGGCACGCCAAGACAGATCAACCAGGCGGTAATTTATTTTCCCGGACCAGCATTCTCCGAGATTAGGACATTTAGCTGTTGGATATTTTGTTGCTGCTCCACAACTAACGTAACAACACTTTACGTAACAATATGAAGATGATGAACACAAGGATCTGCAAGTGATTTGTACGAACTGAATTTGGACAAGATGAGGAAACAAGAATCTGTGGCGTGTCTAAAAACACTTCCATTCTCATAGGGTTATGAATTCATTAAGAGCTGTAGCTCAACCTCACAAGTACACACATTATAGGAATGATCAATTAGTGTACTACTTTGTGATTCTTTTCATGGCTTCGTTTGACCACAAAAGTGGGATCCACCACGAATTCATCACCTCTTGGGCTTTGAGCCATTCCATTAACAATTCAACGACTAATTAGCCTCATAATTAGTCCTCTCTATTAAAGTAAGTTGATCCTCTTTATTAAAGTAAGTTGATCCTCTCGATCAAACTTATGTACACTTGGGCGAGTACTTTATTTCCTCACAAATAATTCCCTTAAGATTTTCATGTTCAACATGAAATATTCTATTTTAGCATTATTGTCGGTACCATAGAAACACTTTTAAGAAAGAATTAATTCACCCCACAATTCAGCACTTACAAATACTTTTTCTCAAATAATGTACTTGATCACTTACCTAGATTAGTCTTTGGTGCCCAACATTGGCTCCTTAGTAGACTAAGCTATGCAAACTATTGATTAATACACATCAATAGTGGAATATATTTTAACCAAATTGGTTACTTCAAACCACTAAAGTTTCCCTTTATAAATCTTCAAGATGACTCAATTAAGATGTTAGACAATAATAAATGCTCATTGGCATTAAGTCACAAAAATAATATTGTTTGCATGCTACTTCAAATTGAGCAACGCATAATATTCTTGAAAGAAATTAATCTGATATGCAAAATATATTCAAACTAGTATTTGCTCAAGAATAATTTTCAACCACAATTACTTGGCTTTTCAGCAAAATAAAGAATCTGGCTTTGAACAATAGATCTTGAATCGAAAACCCAATTTGCTCGAAACCAAGAGAGCTAATAATCAACTTAGGTGAGTCCCAATGTAATCTATCCATGCAATGTATACATATGCATATATACATTATTTTTTTTTGAATGCATTATTATTATTATTATTATTATTATTATTATTATTATTATTATTTTTATTTTTAAGCAAGGGACACCATATATTAATACGTAGTATTAAAATTCTAAACCCAAGAAATTAATACTTCTTAATAAGTTATGTACTCAGTCATACTTCATATGTTATATGTACATGTACTGAGTTGAGCATCTATTTATAACATCATAATTAATGCATGCATGCAGTAATATTATTGCAATGCAATATAATGATGGAATTTAAAGATGCATGATGCACTGCTAATACTCATTTAAATAACCACACACATTAATGTTAAAGCATTTTTTTAATACTTAGATTAATTAAGAGGAAGCATTAGACCCATTACTCTTCACTCCTGCTGCCATTCTTCATAGTTTCAATTGGTTAGAATCCCTTCAACGAGTCCAATATGAGGATCATTTGTGCTTATCGTTGGGGGATGTGGCCACCAAACTGTTGTTCAAAACCGCATGGGATAAGCTACAACAACGGGGTCAATAGGATTGGCAGTGCATTTTCACTGGTATGAACTCGTCACCAACTCCACAACAGACAGGCTCTGTTTGGCAAACCTAGCTGAAAAGCTATAAGCTAGGAGGTGAAAGCTGAAAAGCTATAAACTCGGAGCTGAAAACTGAAGAGCTGTTAAGCTAGCTGTTATGATTGAAAGTATTTGGTAAAAATAGCTTTTTGATAAGCTGATAAATGTAAAAAGACTAAAAAGGACATGTTCGTAAAATTTAAATTAGTTTGTTTACATATTAAAATTTAACATTTTGTCTTTAAAAAAAATTAACATTTTGAAATAAAACTATTAGCATAATCATGATCTAACATCTCATAGTAGCAATATTGTTGCAAATCTCATAATAATAATAATAATAATAATAATAATAATAATAATAATAATAATAATAATAATAATAATAATAATAATAATAATAATAATAATAATAATAATAATAATAATAATAATAATAATAATTGCGTTGAATGCTGCGGATAAAGGAGAAGAGAAAACGGTTTTAATTAGGAATGGTAAATTATGTCATTTCTTTAAAATAATAAGGATAAAGAAAGAAAAAAAGTTAGGAAGCTAGGAGCTTATTTTGAAACGCTACTTAAAGTAGCGTTCAAAAATAAGCTCTTATTTTAAGCTATGAGCTTATTTTGGGAATATTACCAAACAGAGCTTATAGCTTATTAGGAACTGAAAATAAGCTATAAGCTTCTAAATAAGCTCTGCCAAACAGAGCCACAAAGCAGCAGTTCAGAGAGGTCAATCCTTCATGTCAAAATGGTAAAGTTTCCTTTCATTCAGTGTGGAACTTCAACTCCCTCAACCTCTTCTTAATTTGCGTGTACTTCTCTCCTACATGGATCGCTTCCTTCATCCACTTCGGCTTCGGGAGCGGCTTCTTCTTCGTCCCGACCTCGACGGAGTACTCGTTATCCGATTAGAGCCCCATGAAGTTTCCCAGCGTCGACGACTCGGCGGCTAGCCTGCTCTCCAATCCATCCAAGGTCTGGGGGTATTGATGAGTAGCAGGGGAGGAAGGCGGGGCTGAAGATGAAGAGGAGAAGGACTGTGGATAGAGAGAGTGGTGATGAAGGGGCAATAGAGAGGTGGGACTGCCTCAGTGGCGGGTGGATTTCAGTGATCATAAAGCGAGGGATGCGAAGCCGTAATTCATTTTCCCGGCAGTTATCTTATCTGATTCTTCTCTCACGGCGGTAATTCATTTTCCCGGCGGTTATCTTATCTGTTTATGTAATTTGGAGAATTGATTTGTAATGAATTATCATTTCCAATATGCTATGTTTATCAGTTAATCGCTGAGAATTTGTTCAGTTAAGTGTTACAATTGGGGATTTAAGCAGTCAATTAGAAGACCAAGTAATGTATCATTCTACCCTTCACTTGATAGACACAATATAATGAAAAGACACAATTACCCCTTAAATTAACAGCCAACAAACGAAAACCTAACGGAAGGACCTTTGGTGGAACACTTTAAAATGTCAAGTGTCTTTTTTGTCCAAATTAAAATTAAAGTCGAGGACTAATTTTGAAAAATCGCAATAGTCGGAGGACTATTGCTAGAATTAACTCATGTTCGATTCTACCCCGTACTATGTGTATGGAGAAATCACCACGATATGCATTGAGCAAGATTTGAATTTAAAGCAGTAGTATATCAAGTTCGATATCTCCAAAACAACAGATAATTCAGAAATTTCCTTTCACATGTTCTTTAGAAAAAAAGTCATGTGAAAAGGAAACTATCTAACGTATCTATCTAGATTAGAAAATACAACTTATCATAATAGATCCAAAGTGACCCAATTGCTCATACTATAATTTTAAAAAGATTTGGGTCTTTACAATCATATATGTTCAAATAGGGAAAGCATACACATTAAACAATAACCTCACTCAACAATCATGTGGAAAATAAACACCAAATAAGTGCAAAAATTTCTTTAAAAAAAAAAACTATTTTCAATTTATGACAAACCATCATACCACATATTCATAATTTGTTTGCTTCAGGCAAACCCAAACCAGCATGATTTAAGTAAATTTTAACTTTTGGAGACCACCGAAGCCACAGCCACCGGAATTGTAAGACTGCTCTCATCTTTACATAAAAGAAGCCATCTACTTAATGCAAGCTCTAATATTTAAAGTATATACATACATGTCGCGGGCTATGAAAATTGATGTTCGCATCACAAAAATAGCACACTGAATGTATATAAATTACACAGCTTTGCATGCCACAAGTAATATAATACGGAGTAAATCACAAGTAGTAAATGTTCATTATATTTACATGATTTGCATGCCACACACATAAATAATGAAGGAATAGACAGAGAAAAAGTCAAGGGACTAATTTGAGAAAAAGATCATCGGATGACCATTTCGGGAATTAATTCAAAATAAAAATCATGGAATAAGTGTGTCATAATATTTACATCAATTGTAAGTTCCACAAAGTTAGGCTTTGAGAGTGAAAAATCCAATTGGAACCAAACACTTGTAACACACTTACACACCCACCATAATTTTCCTAGAATTATGTTCATATTTGTGGTAGCACACTCTCTTCTCACCTTATAAATCAGTTTTGGGCGATCATTTCAGTTTCCCATCTGGATTTCAACCAATAAAACAAAAAATCTAAAAAAAAAAAAAAATTACATTAAAAAAAAAAAAAAAAAAAAAAACAGGATGGGTTCCAAGGTGATTCAAGCTGCATTGATTTTTTTCTATGTGGCATATCTTGTAGCAACAGTGCAGGGTGTTGAAGTTAGCGTTAAAAAATCCGGTGCAAAAGGCGACGGGAAGTGCGATGATGCTCCGGTACAAACATACATGCAATACTATCTCTCTCTCTCTCTATATATATATAGTTTGATTTGATTGTATTTTGTGGTTTATTTGAGTAGGCTTTTAAGAAAGCTTGGGGTGAGGTATGCAAAGCGGCGGCGTCGAGCACGCTAAAAGTTCCGGCCGGCAAGTATATGGTGGGTCAGATTGGGTTTCTAGGTCCTTGTAAGAGTGCCATAACATTTGATGCGGGAGACGCCACTTTTATCGCGCCAACCGACCCCACTGCGTTCAAAACAAAAGACGGATGGATTTTGTTCAGCATGGTTAAAGACTTGACGGTCACCGGCGGCACTTTCGACGGTCGGGGTTCCGCTGCCTGGAAGATAAACAACTGTAACAAGAATTTCAACGGAAACTGTAAAAACCTCCCCATTGTAAGTACTCGATCCAATCGAGAGTCTCTTATTATTAATCTATTCTTTTATTTGTTTATTATTCATTAAGAATTCAAATGAATGTATATATTTTTAAATAGAACCTCAACTTTGGTACGTTGACGAACGGGGTGGTGAAAGGAGTAACGTCGGTGGACAGCAAGTTTTTCCACATGAATGTGATACAGGCCAAGAACCTAACGTTGAGCAAAATCACTATCAAGGCGCCGGGGGATAGCGCCAACACCGACGGAATCCACATCGGCCGTTCCCATGGGGTTACCGTCGATGGTGCTGAAATTAAAACCGGCGATGACTGTATCTCCTTCGGGGACGGTTGCCAGAATGTGACTGTCGAAAATGTGAAGTGCGGCCCTGGCCACGGAATCAGTATTGGAAGCTTAGGAAGATACCCTAACGAACAACCGGTGATGGGAGTGACGGTGAAGCACTGCAAACTCTCCAATACTCTCAACGGCGTTAGGATCAAGACGTGGCCGGCGTCTCCGAACGGCGTCGCCTCCGGCATGCACTTCGAAGATGTGACGATGGACAACGTCAGCAACCCAATCTTGATCGATCAGCAATACTGTCCCTGGAATCAATGCAAGACCGGCGTTCCGTCGAAAATAAAGATCAGTGACGTTAGCTTCAAGGAGATAAAGGGGACGTCGGCGACAAAGGTGGCAGTGAAATTACTGTGCAGCTCCGGAGTACCGTGCAACAAAGTAGTGCTGAGCGGGGTGAAGTTGGAATACAAAGGAACCAACGGCAGCGCCATATCGGAATGTGATAACTTGAAGCCAACACTCTCCGGCAAAAATTCCCCTGCAATTTGTGATGCCTCTAAAAAAGGTGCCCCTGAAGGTGCCCCTGCCCCAGGTGCCCCTGCCCCTGCCCCTAAAAAAGATGCCCCTGCCCCTAAAAAAGCTTAGCTTAATCACTCTGTGTAATCCCGTCTCTAATTAGAATTAGACTTAATTACGTGTTTGTAAATAAATAGCTTAGATCGACCAAGGACCTTGTAGTCCAATGATATCACGTTGCTCCCCTATATGGGAAGTGATAGGTTCAATAACTTAGATCAGTGTGCACTGCACGGGGTCGTGTTTTTTATATATGCAGTTGAAAGGTGAAATTCTTTTTTTTTTTTTTAGTAGTAGTACAATGTTCTATTTGTCTTGTACTTTATATTTCATTCAGTTCATTATTTGGGTGACAAGGAAAATCGGCAGTCACTAGGTAGGTTAATTTACTTACGTTAAGAGTCAAACTTTGAATTAGTAGTATATAATTAGTTGAAGACGCCAGACAAACGTGGTGTTATGTATAGAAAGCTAAGGGCCCTTTGGGTTGGGGTTTAACCTTTTTGAAGAATGTATATAAAGCTAAAGCTAAGGATGAGCACCCCATGAGTGGTGAAATATAATATATATGTTGTTATCCTATCATTCATCAATAATACAATTATTGGAATTTACATTTAATATGTCTTGTTCTCTATTAAGGCTAATTAATTGCAGAATATAATGAAATTGGCACCAATTGCGGGCCACAACCCAAACCCGCGACAACAATAAAACACTCACTATATATATATATATATATATATATATATATATATATATATATATTAAAGCAAAACAAAGGGAGCAAAAAAATCCCGCCCAAATGGAACGTCGACGTTTTGACAAAGGCGGATAATTTATTGTTAAAGCTTCGAAAAATCAAAGGTCTCCTATTGAGTATAATACCTACAGTTTAAATAAAACCTATTTTTTGAAATATATTTACGGCTGATCACTCTCCCATCCAATTGGATTGGAAAATGTATTTAATCCATACATAATCTCTAGGAATTTACTATGGGACATATGGGAGATTGAGCCCACGAACCCATACATATTCTCTAGGTATTTACTAGCTGTTTATTTCGAAGGAAATATAACGAAAGGTCATCAGACCTTATATATACATCACATACTCCATATACAAAGCTACTCAATACATTCGAAATTTCCATAGATAGAGATACTCTGATTCTTCTTCCCTTCCACAAAATGTTTGTCCTTGCTAGCCAAATATCATGTTTGTCCTTGCTAGCCAAATATCTCTGATGAATACCAGGCAGGCTCTTAGGCTAAGGGTGGTCCGAGCATATCAGATTCTTGAGAGAAATGATCCATCGAAGATTAGATCAAAAGAAATTGTTTTCTATGATGAAGAGGTAAGGAAGGTTTAACAGTAGATAGAGATAAGCAGTCCAGCTTACCTATAATAGTTTTTTAAAGAGCCTTACATACAGTCTTTTTGCATTTACAGTGATGATTGTTGTTATCTATACACATAGATTAGATATATATTTACAGGTCCTATTTTTGTTATTTACAAATACACAGGGTTCCTTCTTGCATGCTCATGTACCCAAAGAGTATGTTGAAAAGTACCTTAGCTGTTTTTCAGAAGGTTCAGTGTATGCTATAAAATTTTTTTGTGTGATCACAAACTTTTACTCATACAAAACCAGCCCACAGAAGTACATTAACTATCAGACTATGGTTAAGGATTTAAAGCATGTGAAGTTTCCTATGAAAATATATCGGCTGAAGACCTTTAAAGAGATAAGTCTACTGAAGGCCTTGATGAGAAACACCTATTTGGTAATCTGTTCTCTCATTCAGTCTATCCTTTCCAAATAATTAGTAATTTTACTATTATTATATCATCTAATCCATTGTTTTGTAGATGTTATTGGTCGAGTTATTGAAATACACTGCCCAGAGGAAAAATTAATTAATGGGAAGAACTCCAGGCTGATTGACTTCACTCTTGAAAACACCGAGTACTACTGAAAATCACTGCCTTTCTATCATTTTTTATTAATGTTGTTTTTCTAATATATTATCAAAAAATTTGTAGTGGAATACAACTAATGTGTACTTTGTGGGATGAACACGTAAGCAAGATTGAGGCATTCTACAATTCTACTTCACAAGAACCATTGTTGGTCTTGGTACAGTTTTGTAGGGCAAGGGTGTGTTTAAAAAGTAAGTACATTACATATTGTTTCTGTAACTATCTTATATTATCAATTACATCTTAAAAAGTCTTCTTAAAACATCTTTATAGCCTAATGTGTACTAATACTATTTTCTAAAAGGTGGTGATGTCAAGATTTGTAGCTCCTATGATGTAACACAGCTGCTTTTCAACCAAGAATCTCCCCCCTTTGAGGAGTTCAGGAAGAGGTTAGTCAATTAAAATTATTGCACTACTATCAGTTACATTTATATTCCATTCTTATCTCTAATTCTTATTTTATGTTCTGTATTACTTATATATTACAGGACGAGTCATGAACAGACACCAATGCGCAGTATTATATCGCAATCAAGTTTTAAGGAATGTAGTTCATATTCAGTTGCACTATCTGGTGATATGGAAGTGCGTACTATCAGTGAGATCTACAGAGACAAGGAGGTAGTATTTACATAAATTTAAACTTACTTTAAGAGATATATATGCTGGCATCTTCACATTTGGAAAAATTATCCTGTCTGAATGTCAATTGCTGAACTCCTCAGTACACTGGGCACTACAATCTGTAGTCTTATGCCTGCATTTCATATTTTGGATCAGATAAAGCAAAACAATTTGTGGAATGTGATAAAGTCTTATAGAGCCTAACATTGGTTACTTATCTAATTTAAGAATTTTAGACCACCATCTGTTGTGGCAGTTCTGTTTTTGGGTTTTTGCAAGCATATACTCACTAATAAACCCAAACCTGCAAAATCAGAACTGATATTTGTTAGTTTTGGATTAGATAAATGGTAACACAAATTGTGGAATGTGATAAAGTCTTATAGAGCCTAACATTGGTTACTTATCTAATTTAAGAATTTTAGACCACCATCTGTTGTGGCAGTTCTGTTTTTTGGTTTTTGCAAGCATATACTCTCTAATAAACCCAAACCTGCAAAATCAGAACTGATATTTGTTAGTTATATAACCTAATGATGATTAATAATTACTGTTAGCTAAAGATTTTTAGAATTATATATTATATTATAGTTGCATCTCTTATTGTATAAAGTTGAATGCAGTTTGGAGATTTCTGGGTTGCAGCTAGGATTGTGTTCATTGATGATCCAGAGTGGTACTATGCTTCGTGTCGAACCAAGGGTTGCAACAAAAAGCTTAAGCTAAAAGGGAAGTGGCTGTGGTGTAGTACATGTGACAGAAATTGGGGTGATGGGACACTGAGGTACAGAGTTAAGGTTAGAGTTGTGGACTTGGATGGCAATGCTCCTTTTCTTCTATGGGACAGGGAGTGCCTCGATCTAATTGGAATTAGTGCAGATGATTTGAAGGATACCCATACAAAGGTACTAATACTATTTCATCATGTCCTATACTGTTAGCTTAGTACTACTAACTTTGTCATCTCATGAAAAACATTAATATAATGATCCAAATGAAAGGGTCTACCTAAGTATACAGTTAATTCTCTTTGGACCACCTAAATGAAAAACATTAATATACTATAGCTTTCATAAGTATTGTATCTCTGTTAACTAATTGAATTACCTGCAGGGAAGAAATGGTCTACCTAAGGAGCTTGAAACTCTAATCGGACTGAATCTGTTATTTCGAATTGCTGTGCGTAAGGAACAGTTCCAAAACTATCTCAATGCTTTCCCTGTTATGAGAATCATCACTGATGCAAAGATTGTTGAGAAGCACGCACCAGAGCTAATCCAAGTTAGGGACAGGGACCTCTCATCAAAGTTGGAGTTGGAGCTTACGGATGAGGACCTATGCGATATAGAGGTATACTTGCTGATCCAGAAACATGTTATAAGAATTACTTTATAAACTAAGTATTTTACATTTACATTTTCACCATTTGGATGTGTAGGATATAGACCCAGCAAATGAAGCTGAAAGCCCTCTCCAAGTTGTTGCACAGAGACTGAACGAAGATAACAGTATTGAGAATGGAACCGTGAAGAGATTGCTAATTGATGAGTTTTCCAGCACACAAAGTTCGAAAAAAAGCAAGGATAGTGTTGTGAAGATTGAGAAAGAAACAGATTTGTAATGAATTAAATGGCTGACAATGTGCTCTTTTGGTTTTTTTTTTGAATGATGGTTTTTGGTGACAGTATTGTGTTTTGGGAACATTAGCTGGACTGAACCTTTTGATATGCAGTATGGTTTTGTTGGTTTAGTACCAAACATGTTAAACGTACTCGATTTGTGATATTCCTATTGCAGATTTTTTTTTTCCAGAAATTTATGGCACAGGCATAGAAAGATTGCAGAGATCATGGTAAAAGAATGCAAAGGCTTGCAGACATGGTGGGAAAAGGTCAATCAGATGGCAGGCATATCCCTAAAGACCAAACTGATGGCACACAAATCAGTTGAAGTAGCTGAAATCAGCATTCAAAAGGACCATCAAATGGTTTATGTTAGCATGTAATACAGCTGACACTTTATAATTATGTAAGATTAAGGAACATTACTGTAGGGTACTCATTAGGAACATACAAGTTTTATTTTTGGAGGTTTTTTGTGCTCTAAATTTTAATGATTAAATAAGACTATTTTTATTGTAATGACTATTTGTAAAACTTATAAATATTGGTTATCCCTAAGTCTATACTTTGTTAATTATGTCACTTCTACAGTTGGATACACTCACATGGAAGCATGTTGTCATCCAAAGAAATGTAACTAAACTAATAAAAACTGAATATTAAATTTAGTAGATCATATAAGGCAGCCAAAGTTAGTAGTACTACACTGCAACTGTAAATCCAAGTGTATTTGGTCTCTCAACAATCTATTACTAAATCCGTATTATGATTAAAGCAATACAGTGCAACTGTATTTGATCTCTCAACAATTTGGCAAAGTGTCATAAATTAACAGGCATTCAAGTATTTAAAAGATGAATGTGTGATAAAAGCAAAAAAAAGTTCTATCACTTAATCATATTAGAGGACAAATAATAGTAAACAAAAGAACAAAGGGACACGTGTATATAAAAAATAGTCTTATCACTCCACAATATCAACACTAGATTAATTAAACTATATAATACATTAGTTTTCAATGAAGTACAGTAACAGCTATCAGTGACCTAAAGCTATTGTTGGGAAGTAAAGTAAAAATGTGTTTCCAAGTACTCATAATTGAGAACTAAGGGACTTACCAGTTGTTGACAACAATCTACAGTTGATTATCTCCTCAATGACCTTTTATACAATATAGATTGTGTTGCATCTTACCTGCAGTTGAACCAACAACCGTTAAATTTAAAATACGACTTGCAGCAACTTAATTAGGATCTTAGAGCTTATTAGGGACTTACCAATTGTTGACAACAATTTTGGTGAAAAGCAAGTGTCCTCAATTAATGTTAGTTGAAGACCTTTTGATGTGCAGTTTAGCTGCATTTGGGGGATTTTGAATTAACTGAATAACTGCCTTAAAGTACTACTTGGTTAGGAACAATGTAAGGAAATTATTCTGCTTAACTAACATTTGAAGGGGGGATTAGATTGAGCCATACAAGGTATTAAAACTTATCTTTTAGACGTCCGAAGCAACTGTTAATACAATATTCTGGACTCCAACTTTGTATCTATGAAGCATCCACAAATTATTGGACATAAATACAATGTAGGTGTAACAGCTTACCTGCAATTGGAGGATTACAATTAAACAAATCAAATCATCATTAATATTAGATAATTTATCAACACTCAAAGAATATCAGCAAGTAGTGTGTATCTTTATTGTAAATCACAGTAGATGGACAACAAACTTATCTTTAAGCCCCCCGAAGCATGTGTAAATACAACAGTCTCAAACACAGATCTTTATCAAATAAAACCTATCACAACCATCAGTATTTGTGGGCTTGAACCGACTACTGTCTACCTGCAAAACAACATATATATTATGATATTATGTTACCTAAATAAGAAACCTATTTACATTCCAATCAAATTTGATAATTCCAGTTTAGTATGAAAGCAATTACTAATAATATTCATCTACCTATGTTAATGGACTTCCCTGTGCATTAAGTAGCACAACTAAACCTTTCAGTATTCCAAAAGCCATTATAATGGCCAGTTTCCAATGTTGTCTCCAAATATTAATTGAGTAGTTCTTTACAACTATATAATCAACACAGAGAGATTAAACACCTGTTTTAAACACCACCTAAACAATTCCTTATTCTAACCAATACATCTCCCTAAGAACACATGAGGAAACTTACATCTACAACCACCATTGGTTCGAAGAGGAAGCATCCCAGCAACAACCAAGGTAAATCTATATACACTTCTATCTTTATTATAGCTATCTGTCTTCCTATATAGATAGAGATTATAAGAAATAGTTGGGTACACTGTAAAAAAATAATAATAAAAATATACTTATTAAACAACGGATTCTAACTTCTCGGACTCCAAATTAAAAATCATCCTATAAATTCAACGGTTAGCAAAATTCATATGCATGTGTTGTATACTCGGATTACTTCTACATATTTAATAGATAAACGGTATCAATATCCCTATTTATATATACATCTGAACAACGTAGATTAATTAGGTTAGAAATACATACCCAGTTTTGTTGTTATTTTCCAAATCGAATAGCTGAACCACCGATTCTGAAAAATGGTCACCGACTCGAATCGCACACATTTATAGGCAAGAATGTCCGATCTCTATGTACCCATGAACTCCGGCGACTATAGTGTTCACCGGATCGAATCCGTGCGTTGATAGTCCAGATCAAACCTCCGATTTGTGGCTGTGACCGTACTATGAACACTCAGACTTCGAGTATGCCGAGAGCTATTTGTCAGTCGATGCTCCACACAAACATCATCTTCATCGTCAATCCATAGTACAGAGTACACGAGACTCACCAATCGAACCCTAACCCCTTACTCAGCTCCATTTTTAGAGAGAGAAACCAGGTTGATTGCCCGACGAAATGAGCTCACAACTGAGCGTTCAAGGGATTAGGAAAGCGACATCATCGAGACCCATCTCACTGTCATTTCCATTTTAATTATTATTATTATTATTATTATTATTATTATTATTATTAATGTTATTATTCTTTGTATTATTATTATTATTATTATTATTATTATTATTATTATTATTATTATTATTATTATTAGTATAATTGTTATAGTATTATTAGTCTAAAAGTTTCTGATGATTTCTATTATTAGTATGATTGTTATTATTAGTATTTTGGTTATTATTGTTCTTATAAATAATTGTTAGCCAAATATTAATCTCCATCATTAATGTGCTTATTATAAGAACAAATGCATTCCAATATGGCTATTTAGTATTATTTTTGAAATTTAATATTTAAAGGTTATTAGTAATAAAAATAATAAAACTATTACGAAGATTAATAACATTTTCCTTATTTCTAAAAATGGAGACATTGCTATACAAAAAGATTTGCATTATTATTATTATTATTATTATTATTATATCATTATATAATATTATCATGACATATTACGAAAAAAATAATGTGATAATATGGTTAAATATAAAATTTGCAATACTGCTTTAAAATTATCGGTATTATTATATAGTACAATAGTGACATCATTTACGAACTCTTATTGGATAATTACAGTATAATTTGTTATTATTGTCAAAAATTGTTCCAACGAACGATTTATGATATTTGATAGACATATGTGTTTACGCTGCAGCGAATGATAATAGTAATATCATTAATGCAGCCTACATGTCTCCAATTGAATCTAGCCGGAATGCAGGCAATAGTAAACCGCTTATTGGTGTTTTCCAAAGTTCGCTAAGTACGCCATTGGCAATAGTAAACCGCTTACACGGCAAGACATTGTTTCTTCAGCAATCAATTCATCATACCTATGGGATAGTTGCAAAGTGTTAAGGTTGACTAAAAACCCCAGGCTCAGCTCGGTACCAAATGGTGGAAACCGACATGCGTTACAAGAGTTTGCTGACTGGATTGCCAATATCGGTGATGGGAAGCTTGGTGGCCGGAATAAAGAGTTTGCAGATGTTGAAATACCAATGCACATGTTAGTATCATCCGAGGGGGACTACATTAAAGCAATTGTGCACAGTACATTTCCTATGTTTGCAAGTGGGAACACTGACCCCGAGCACCTGTTGGGTCGTGCCATATTAGCACTGACGCTCGACGTTGTCAACGCTGTTAATGACTATATGACTGAGTTGCACAATGCCGAAAGTAGGTCATACTATAGTTCAGACGCAGTATGCAAAGCAGATGGCGATAACGGTATATTTGGAGACGTACACACACCAGAGTTTCTAAATAGCATTTGGGTTTCAGGTCTACCAAATCATACACTGACTTTGAAAATCGGATCACCAGTAATGTTAATGAGAAATATTGACCATTCTCTTGGTTTGTGCAATGGAACTCGGTTGATAATCACAAAGCTAGCAGATCATGTGATTGAAGGCGAGATTCTGACTGGTCCCAATAAAGGTACAAAAGTGTTAATCCCCCGAATGTCAATGGCACCCTCGGATCCAAGATTGCCGTTCAAGTTTCAACGAAGGCAATTCCCATTGATGCTTTCATATACGATGACCATAAACAAAAGTCAAGGCCAAACGTTGACTCATGTAGGTTTAGTACTAAAGAAACCGGTTTTTGTACACGGTCAGTTGTACGTAGCTGCATCTAGGGTTAATAATCCAGACGGTCTCAAAATATTGATAGCAAAAGACTCAAGTTCAACTACAACCTCAACCACTAATGTTGTATATCATGAAGTTTTCAATAATTTGTAATTTTCTAATGTATTATTTTTATATTACCATCACCTTTATACTATTTCTAACATACCATTTTCAGTTGGTTTTTGTTGAGCTCCCAAATATACTTAATGATTATATACCAAATTCTTACTGTATTGCTTCAACCAATTTTTAACATAACATAAACATAATTAATAATATGTAATTTACATCCCGTGCATCGCACGGGTCAAACACTAGTATATATATATATATATATATATATATATATATATATATATATATATATGTGTGTGTGTGTGTGTGTGTGTGTGTGTGTGTGTGTGTGTGTGTGTGTGTGTAATTTCTACTACACTATTAAAAATGTTAATTTTGGTGTTCGTATATAATTCATGTCTTTTGGTCAATTTAATCAACAATTTTAATTTATTTGTATTATTATTATTATTATTATTATTATTATTATTATTATTATTTTAAACAAATAATGAAAACGTAAGTAAAGATAAGAAGTAATAGACAGAAAAAAGGAGAAGGCAGGATGATCATCTTGTTCATTCATCTTTATCATAGTACAATGATATATAGACAAGATACAATAAAGACATACAATAATGAAAGATAATTACATCCATTACAAACGTTGCAAAGCTATTGTATTTTTGACAACTATAATACCTTCACAAATATCTCAAATCTCTCTCATATTTATAATTGTTTAGGACAATATTTAAGTAACCAGATTCTATACATTTCCCAGAAGATCACATCTAATCATTACGCTTCAACCGGGTTATTCTATTCAACCTCTTAAAAAGATAAAGAACTTCAATCAAAATCAAAATACTTAATAGCATGGTGATACAATTATACAAAACTTATACCCCGAGTACACGCAATGAAACCGTAAATGGTCAAGTGAAATCCACTCGAGGAAAGAATTTGATCTATGGACAACATCGTTGTGGTAAAGGCCGTAATGCCAGAGGAATCATTACCGCAAGGCATAGAGGGGGAGGTCATAAGCGTCTATAAATTAAAATAGATTTTTGACGAAATGAAAAAGACATATATGGTCGAATCGTAACCATAGAATACGACCCTAATCGAAATGTCTCGCATCCCTAGTATTATGTTTGTTTGGTGCACCTATGAATTGACTAGGGTTTCTCATCATCTGGACGAACGGACAAAATTTATTCAAGTTTTTTCAAGAGTGACAATGTTTATTTACTAGATCTAGTATAATTCTTATTTCTTACACCGATGGATCTCCTATACTTCTAGCATCAGGAGTATCGATAGATTTATTTGGTCCAAGTTGGCAAGGTATATGAGACCTAGTTACTCTTTTATGATCATTATGATCAATAGATATGTTTGACAGTTCATTCTAACTAGTACATTGATTTAAATAATGAAGATGTTTTCATTCTATAGAATTTCTTGGTATTTCATTAAAAATTAGTCTATTATCTCCCCTAATGCCGAGAAACAATCTTCATTAAGTATGCAGTCAGTGTACCTAATTATATGTATTGATCCCCTATCATTGGCTCTTGGCTCTTTTAGAGGTACGTTATGGTGGTGATATAATAAGATGGATTGCATACTAAAAACAGAGACGCAGATTAGGAAATGTTCAATTGAGTTAATTCTAGCAATAGTCCTCCGACTATTGCGATTTTCCAAAATTAGACCTTAACTTTTAATTTGGACAAAAAAGACACTTGACTTTTTAAAGTGTTCCACCAAAGGTCCTTCCGTCCAATAAGAGTTTGTTGACCGTCAGTGTAGGGGGCAATTCTGTCTTTTCAGTATATTGCTTTCTTCTTCCTAGTATATCAGTACACTTACGTTGCATGGCTTATTTGACGCGATCCAGCCTCGCCTATGGCAGTTCCGGCGACAGTCCAGGCTGGCGATGGACTCTCTCAAACTCTCGGAGACGTCGTGGAGGCTCAACAGAGTGATCGCCGAGACCGGATTGAAGATCGACTGCCGGCTGCAGAGTCGGGGGTTCCGAGTCGTCCATCGCATGTGGAGTCTTTTCCGGCGATGGAGGCAGTGCATGGCCAATCAGAGGGTGGAATGGAGAGAGGAGTGCATCACGATCCTCCCCCCCCCCCCCCAATCAATTTGACGATCGCCAACCTCCTGAAATTCTGGGGTCCGAGGGGTCGCCGAGGGATTCCGGCCGGTTGCGGAGGCTGACGTCGTTCGGGATGGTTGAGGGGAATCGCCGTATGGTCGAAACCAACCACCACACCTGTCAGATTACTTCTCCGGCCAGGATGCACATCGACAGCCTTCGGTTGAGATTGATGGAGGCACGCCAAGACAGATCAACCAGGCGGTAATTTATTTTCCCGGACCAGCATTCTTCGAGATTAGGACATTTAGTTGTTGGATATTTTGTTGCTGCTCCACAACTAACGTAACAACACTTTACGTAACAATATGAAGATGAAGAATACAAGGATCTTTAAGTGATTGGTACGAACTGAATTTGGACAAGATGAGGAAACAAGAATCTGTGGCGTGTCTAAAAACACTTCCATTCTCATAGGGTTATGAATTCATTAAGAGCTGTAGCTCAACCTCACAAGTACACACATTATAGGAATGATCAATTAGTGTACTACTTTGTGATTCTTTTCATGGCTTCGTTTGACCACAAATGTGGGATCCACCACGAATTCATCACCTCTTCAATTGGCAGGGGATGAAGTCAACAGTGAAGGTGTTAATGTTAAGAAGGCTAAACTGGATTCCATAGAGATGGAAAAAAACTGATTGATTAATAGGCCAAACCTGCTTGATATATATTATTGATTAAATGCAAGCACAACATGAAGGATGCTAGAAATATTCTTGCTTTCTGTAGATTTGTGTTTTTTGTTGTCGTTCTCCACAATCATTTCTCCTATGCTAAGGCAATGGAAGCCAAGATTTACTGATGGGCGACATTATCAACTATTTAAATACCAATTGGCTTTCATTTTCTACAAGCTGTTCAGTGAAGTTGTCTCCTGAAAATAGTCATCATGGATTGCATCCATAGAGCAAAAATCCAGCAAAAACAACTAAAACAATTTGGGCTTTGGATTCATACCTGAAAGCCATCTTTCACAGTGTGACTATCTTCTACAGTATAGACGTATTTTTTTTTTTGTATTTTTTTTTAATGATTTTGAGCTCTGCTTTCCATGTGACTATTTTCTGCAGTACATGCACAATAAAAGCATAAGACATCAAAACATAGTCAATTATGTTACAAATCTCAAGAAGTAGCCATCCGAATACACTTATGGGTACATTCAAAAGAAAACCTTATGACTTCTGCATACACCTATTATGCTTTGAAAGTGGTAGAAAATTGGGTCTTTCTCATGTACAAATTGAATTTCTTGAAACTCAGTTTCATAAATCAAATCTGGCCAGCAAAAGAATGAAAATAGGATCAAACAATCTCAACTTAAAGATCCCTAATGGATCAAATTTGGTGAACTCAGAACTTAAGAAGGCTAAGCTGAATTTCATAAAGAATGAATAAAATAATTGCGATGATTGGAGTTTATAAATTATTTGAACTTGAGAGGAGTTTTTACTGCATTATGTAGTGCTTTAGTATTTTAATATCATAAATTACTTTTACTGTTGATTTTTTAATAGTATATGTTATTTTTGTACGTCTAAAAATGAAGTTCACTCAGTTTGGAATGTAGTTCAAATGTCAAGGAACTCTAAATTGGAAAAAGAGACAGGTTTTGATTACAAATAATCAAATAATTATAGAACATACCCTGTAATAACAGTAACACATGGACATATTAAAATTTATCTACATGAATTGCAACCACTATTCTGTTGTTTGTTACTGTTTTTTGTTGACTGTATTTCTATGAACAGAATTGTGGTCATTAACTCTTTATCCTTTTTGCACTTGGAAGACTTGATCACTAATGTTTTACTTTGTTTTCAAGTGGTATCTGTTACAGGGAAGATTGAAGACTTCTACAAAATAAGGCTGGAATGAAATTTCAAGGCATTACAACCTAAAGTACTTAAGAGGCCAAGCACTTTGTGCTCAGATGGCATGTAGTGATTTCTCCGATGTGGGAGGTCATGAGATTGAGCCTTATGGGAGGCGTTGTTCACTCTGTGTGCAACATTAGGTTGAGAACATTACACTTACGGGGATTCAACACTTAGATCTATTTTGTCTATGTATCACCTATTGTAAATGTTTTCTTTACTACTTATGTACTTTCAATCTATTCTTTAAATTGTACTCAAATAAATTTAGCCAATTCATTTAGAATCAACCTGGGTTTTTCAAAACCGGGACTGTATTCTACTCATAAAAATAAAAGCATACTATTTCGATTAAGACTTGATATTAAAAAAAAATAGGAACTTAAAAATCAATGCCATATCAATTATCAACTGATGCATTATTTCATTGAACTTGATAAAAGAAGCAGTGTTGCAAAAATCGCGCCTAGGCACCGATTATTAGGCGCTAGACGGCGGGAGGCCGCCGCGAGGAATGGCCTTGGTGGCCTCCTCCGTGGCCAGCCAGTTTGGGATTTTTTTTTTTTTTTTTTTTTTTTTTTTTTTTTTGTTGATAATGTAGGAAAATTTACGAAAGGCATAACTTTTACTCTAAAAAATGCTTCTTTAATTTTAGGTTTTTATTTATTTATTTATTTATTTATTTATTTATTTATTTATGTATTTAGATGGTTTAAACAATCTTTTGAACAATTTTACAACCACTTTTGTAAATAGTTTTTCAGAAATAACTATGGAAACCTTATGTGTTATTACTAAATTTTGAAATTTTTTAATTTTTAATTAAAAAAATAAAGAATAAAAAAAAAAAAAATAGGCCCTTTTGCAACATTGAAAAAAAGTTAGGAAATAACTTGGCAAACAGAATAAAATCAGCTTATTGCAAGAAAATGATGAAATTACAAATCACATGATGGCAACTGAGTTGTTGTAAAAACACTGTCTGAACATGATGAAATTACAGATCATCAAACAGTCCATGGCAACTTATTTGTTGTTACCATTTATCGTAATCTAAGATTATTTAGAAAAAAATAATAATAATAAAAGGCATCAAATTAGTTATAATCCTCATCTTCCAATACCAAGTTTTAGGAACAGAAATCTTGAGAATGGCATCAGAATTCTACTTTCATCATATGCCAACAGTAAATAATTTTTTTCAAAATTAATATTAACCTGTGAGTGATATAGTTGAATTTTTTCATCTTATGCTATCAATACTTGTGATAAAACAGTTAAACTTAAACCTATGGCATCTGAACTCTAATTTCATCATATGCCAAGACATTTGAAACAACAGTAATCATTATGGCATCAGAACTCTGTGTTATAATTAATGAAATTTGAAAGTAATCATTACTTCTTTATAAGCATGTAAACTGCAAATGAGAATGTGATTATATAAAAACGCAGATTTGCAGCAATTGGAATTAAAACACAATAACAGTATGAGGCAAATATTTGGTTCAGTTATTATAGGCAACAAGAGGAAGCATAGCATATCAGACAAAGGTAACATAACACCACATCAGTTTAAATTTAGTTTTTTTACCAGTTATGACTTATTTGAGCTTCTGAAATGATCTTTTCATGCCTTTGTCATTCTTGGCTGTATATATGTTCTTCTTGGATGCACTGAAATATGTATGTATTCATAAATAACTTTGTGAGCTTGCATGTTCAATATTATGAAGAAAAAAAATAGTATATATATTATTTCATTCATAGAAAAAAACCTACGATTCTGCCAATTACTAGCTAAAAACCCCGAAATAGAGTATTTACGAACTATTATTCCTAAATTATAAAAAACCTAATTCAAATAAGAGCATCATTAGAATAGTACTGCTTTTTGGCAAAAAAAAATGCAAAAGCAATATAAATTCGGAAAAAAATAACTTATCTTAAACAAAAAAAAAAACCCATGAATCGCGGGTAAAAAATCGAGATGGGTTAGCCGGAAACGATTTACGACTATAACTCGGACGGAACCTGCGACTCGATCAGAGTTGTACGTCTACTAGCCGGGAAGATAAACTCTGAGCTACCAGGAAGATCGTTGTCCGGCTACTAGGACATGCAAGTTCGAAAATTCCGGCAACACGTAGGGATTTAACCCAAACAAAATCAAACTGAAATCAAAGATTTCGAACAAGATATAGTGATTTAACACTCAGAAAGCAAGAATAATTGATCGGAATGGTTCAATTTTTTTAGTGAGAAATTTCAAATTTCTTCATTGTCTATCTTCCCGTAGAGAGAGACAGAACTCAAGAAATGAAGAAGCATCATAGTATACTTTTCCCATTTCTAGATGATGATAATAATGATGATGACGACGACGACGACGACGACGACGACGACAACAACAACAACAACAACAACAACAACAACAACAACAACAACAACAAATCTAATCTAATCTAATCTAATCTAACTCTAACTCTATAAAAAAGCAAGAAGTTTTTGGCAAAATTTTTTCCCGCCCATTTGATACTACGTCGTTTTATGTACATAAATTACTGATATGATTTAATTGCCTATTCACACTGTTTTACATCCTTTGATCAGGTTTAACATAAGTAATTATGTAATTAGTCGGCTAATTTATTGCTTTGCAATTTACGAGAATTAAAGATGGCCGGTGCACAATATTCGAACTAGGGAACTGCCGGTGCACAATATTCGAACTATCTGGGAACTCGAAAAGCGAAAAATGAAATTGAATTTACAATTTACATTTTACACTCTAGAACTAATATTTACAACATAAGTAATTTGAAATTTGAAATAACATAATGATTATTTCTCATTGTTCCAAATTAGGACTCTTCGTTTCTCTAGGAGAATAGTCCTGATAGCGCATTCCATCTCTATATATAGAGGTCGACGAGATGAAGAAGTTCAATCTGACTTCTATACAATACAAACGTAATACTCTGCCAAAATAGCCAATGCCTTCTCAATATGTACGGGTCAAGAACATTAGTCTGCACACCAAGCGAGAAATGAGAAGTGGCCAAATCACGAAGAGTAAAAGAATGAATATTTCATGATGAGAAGGTAAAAATGATTTAGAAACCAATCTTTTTAATATTTTTCATTCATACAATTAACAGATTTATACAAAAGAGCCATGTTTTTTATTTTATTTTATTTTATTTTATCATACGAATAGCAGTTATATAATCTGTACTATAATAGGTTACTTTGCTCTTTATCATGTGGTACTACACCTATAAAACAACTGGACATAAGTATCTGATTAAGTTTAACTATAGCACTGCTGTCAAAGAGAGTAAACAAAAACTATTTTCTATATGGATGTTTGCCTCAGGTCTTTCGAATCATTGAGGAATCCGGATGAAGTTAATGACAAAGAGCTATTTGGTAAGCAAATATCTTTTTAATCCTATATCAAATTAATTGCCTGATTGCTGTTTTAACAACTATTTTTGTTTTCAATAGATGTGATAGGGAGAGTAGTCGAAATCTACTCAATAAAATCATTGCTGGAAAGCCTATATTCGAATTTGATTGACTTTCTAGCTGATACAAAGTTGGATAATTATTTTATATTTCTGTTTGTTAATTTACATTCTATTTTGAAACATTTAAAAACTGTACAACTGAAATTTCAAACACAGTCAAAAGATGCATTCTGGACCAGTTCTTTTCATCTAACAAATATAAGAAGTCGAAGAATGACACTGTGAAACCACAGAAAATTTCAAGTTTGTGTGTGGGGGGACAGTTTTAGATCTGTAATGCTGTTTTCTATGGATTTTGGATGTATTTAATTGGTAGCACTGTTACAGTGCTATCAATTCTACTCATGCTTTCTATTTTGCTATTGGCTTAAGTGTCAAATTAAAACTCATTAAACTTCTATTACTCTAAATCTATATTGGTTACTATTTGTTTATCTAATTTGTTGTGTTAGCTTAAGCAGAATAATGCAAAGTTATATGTTGCTATAACATTGAAGTCATGATACACCTACTCTATGGCAATGAATTCAAGTTTACTGGCAAAGTCAAGTGAAAGCGAGTACTGTAGTCATCAAGAATCAAGTATGCAGTTGATTTTTTTTTTTTATAAATCAACCGAATGCTACTTCTTATTTATCTGATGGCAGCAAATATTTGGCAAAAAAATATTGCAGATCATCTGCCCAGATAGGTAGCAAGTAAATGATGTAAAAATAGTAAATTTGTATAAGCAAATCACTCAAAGGTGCATTATAAATAATTTTTTTATGTTTTATAATCAAATAAAAAGCAAGTTCTAATATATTTTTCTTTCCTTTAGGAAAGTCAAAATATACCACTGGAAATTAGTTGTTTGGTTGGTCTGGCACTGGTGTTCAAAATTGCTGTTCGAAAGGAACAGTTTGAAAATTTACACAATGCTTTCCCAGCAACTGGCAGAGCTAACTGTGCAAACCAAGTTGATAATATGGGATGAAGCCCCAATGATGCATAAATTCTGCTTTGAAGCCCTTGACCGAACTATGCGGGATTTGATGCGCTTCATAAATCCAAGGAGTTCTGATATGACATTTGGTGGTAAAACAGTTGTTTTGGGGGGCGATTTCAGGCAAATTTTACCAGTCATTCCAAAGGGTACTAGACCGGATATAGTTCGAGCGAGCATTAGCTCATCCTATCTCTGGAAATCCTGTAAAGTCCTAAGGCTTACTAAGAATCTACGTTTGAAAAGTGTTCAATCAGAAAACGAGTGCAAGGAGATCGAGGAATTTGCAAAATGGATAGCTAATATAGGTGACAGAATTATTGGGTGTCAACTTGATGGGGAGTCCGAGATTACTGTTCCAGAAGATTTGTTGTTGAAGTGCGAAGATGACCCTATTGCTACAATTGTTGATAGCACTTTCCCTAATTTCCGACTGGGAATTGCCGATTTGTCATATCTTAATCATAGTGCAATTTTAGCTCCAACATTGGATGTGGTAGATGCCGTTAACCAATACATGAATGATCATAATCCGGCTGAGGGTAAGACATACTTGAGTTGTGATTCTGTGTGTAAGTCAGATGCCAATGTTGACATGTTAGCGGATTTGCACACTCCCGAATTCTTGAATGCCTTGAGATGTTCTGGAGTACCAAATCATGATTTGACATTGAAAGTTGGATCACCTGTTATGCTATTGTGAAATATTGATCACACACTAGGATTATGCAACGGTACAAGGTTGATTGTTACAAGGTTGGCTGACCATGTGTTGGAAGGCCAAATCATGTGCGGTACAAATGCAGGAACCAGAGTATTGATTCCTAGGATGTCACTTACACCGTCAGATCCAAGATTGCCTTTCAAATTTCAACGAAAGCAATTTCCTTTGATTCTATCCTATGCCATGACAATCAACAAAAGTCAAGGACAAACACTTGCTAAAGTGGGGTTGTTGTTGAAAAAACCTGTCTTTAACCATGGACAATTGTACGTAGCTGTTTCAAGAGTTAGTAACTCCAGGGGTTTGAAAATTTTGATTTGCGGGGAAAATGTACCGTGTCTTAGTACGACTAAAAATGTTGTGTACAACGAAGTCTTCAATAATGTATAATAACATTCCACAATTTATTATTTAAAATTTAGTATTTTTTTAAATACTATGTTTCTTATTCTTATTATATTTGATGTTATCACATCTTTGCTTGTTATTATAGTTATTTTGAATCATCTCAGCATTTAAGTTCTTTAATTTTGCTTATTTAATACATATTTTCCTGGCTATTATCATTAAATTATGGTTCACACTTGTTTTGAATGTTTTACGGTGTTTGTTAGTGTTTTTGAACCATTGTAGGTCAATTCTATGAGCAAGGGAAGTTCAAGGATGAGTTTGGAGCAATTTTGGACGAGTTCGGAGTCCAGTGGACTCGACGCGTCGAAAATTTCCAGTAGCATCAGAAATCGAGACCATCAGGTCTCGACGCGTCGAGCTATAGCTCGACGCGTCGAGCGAGGCGTGAAGTCACAGGCCTAATTACGACAAAAGGGCGTTGGCAGCAATTCAACTTCAATTCCAAATTTCCAATTCCAACTTCAATTTTATAATTAAATACTTCCAATTTATTTATTTAAATATAGGAATTATAATTTGAGTCCAATTTTGTACAAGATTCCTATTTCATCTCAACTTTGTACCCACTATAAAATCCCCCCTTCCTCAACCCTAAACGGACACAGAGAGATTTTTAGAGTTCTTTGTAGACAAGAAAGAGAGAAATCAAGAGGCTCAAGTTGTCTTTGGAAGCAAGGAGGAAGCCAAGGAGATTTGGGAGAATCGCTTGGTCAATTCTTGTACTCTTTTGATGATTTGTGATTCTTTATTTATATTTGCTATGTATAATTTAGCCATGCTTGGCTAAATTCCTTAGGGATTTTTGGGTGAATTTGTTTATGAACCTATGTGCCTAGTTCGTTAATTTCTTAATATATTTATGTTTGGTTTTATGATTTGTGTTGCAATCTTGTTTTAATCTGTTGTTGTTGGTAGTTAAAGGCCTAAATTACTAGCTTCACAGTCATGTTTGTGTCACCAATGGGAGTTGGGGCGTAAATTAGGGCACACACGATTGCACCTAATGGTTGGTCCTTGGGAAAGGGGAACTTATTAGGGGAAATTTATTCTAGATTATTGCTCATCGGGAGATGGTAGTAATTAGGAATAATTGGATGCTGATCTTTGATCTTATTGGGTGTTTAAGCCATGGGAGTGGAAATTCACTAGGAATAGAGATTACGGGAGTAATTCGATTCCACTTTGCATTCCCATACAAATCTTAATTCCAAACCAAATATTACAAACGTTAATTGGCACTAGGTGATTAAACATTGTGATCCCAAGAATCCTGTTTTGCTCTATTGTCTACAAAACCTTGTTACTTATTTTATTCTGCTTATTATTTTATGCAATCAATCAACCTTCAAGTTTTGTTCGGATTAGTTTCATATGAGTAACCTAGTAGCTAGTGATTAGTACACCACCTCTATGTGGTTCGACAACCCGAATACTCCGGGTATTATTTGTTTGCCCCAAATTACAGCAATCAAATTGGCGCCGTTGCCGGGGAGGTGGCGTTACGTACTGACATTAGTGAAAGTCTTACTTTAGGAGTCTAGTCCATTTTTTTTCATTTATTTATTTATTTATTTTATTTGCTAATCCATAACAAGTTCCTTGTTCTTGAGTGTGATTTTGCTTTGAATCTAAGAACTTGGCTTTTTATGCATACACGATCTCGTGGGAAAGAAGGATTATTGCCTTTGAATCTTGAGATTGAGAAAAGAGCCAAGTTTCTTAGAAAACAAACTAGGATGGCACAGGTACAAGAAAACCAAGCTGGAGGGAGATCAATGTCTGACTACCTTGCTCCGGATGTTGAGGAGCATGGTAGCATCAATATTCCAAATGTGGAGGCCAATAACTTTGCGATCAATCCGGCCATACTCAGCATGGCTGCGGCAGATCGATTTGGAGGGATGCCCACGGAAGATCCCAATGCTCACGCCACCAAGTTCCTACGACTTTGTGGCACTTTCAAGATAAATGGAGTCACTCAAGATGCTGTCAGACTTAGGCTTTTTCCCTTTACACTGAAGGACAGGGCTGAAGATTGGTTATCCTCACATCCAGATAACCATTTTGACACTTGGGACAAATTACATGGAGCATTTTTGAAGAAGTTCTATCCTATCTCCAAAACTCAAAGGATGAGAAGGGCAATTCAAAACTTTAAGCAACTGGCAACCGAGTCCCCTCACTGAGTCTTGGGAGAGATTTAAGGAATTGAAGAGGCAATGTCCACACCATGGATTTCAGAGTTGGGATTTGATGATGTCTTTCTATGAAGGATTGCTGGATAATTCTAGGATTTTGGTGGATGCTTCTTCGGGTGGTTCGTTCACGATTCTAGAGCCAACACAAGCCGAGGAACTATTGGAGAAAATTTCTATGAATGGATCTACTTGGTACACGGAGAGGTCTCCACAAAAGCTTGTAGGAGGAATTCATGATGCGGGGCAGTTAGCCGATTTGTCAACAAAGTTGGATAATGTGGTCTCCTTGGTTCAAAAACTTGCCCAAATCACCAGCCAAAATCACAATTCAGGGGATTGTATCGACGAGTTATACTCCCAAACCTCTATGGAGCAAGTTAATATGTTGGGATATAATAGGCCTCATCAACAGTCTTACCAACCTCAAGGGACCTACCATCCTAATAATTCAAGGAACCATCCCGGTTTTTCATGGAGCAACCCAGTGGGAGCTGCCAACCCTCAACACTTTGTTAATAGAGGTCCTCTGGGTTATCAAGGTACTCAAGTTCAATCTAAATTTCCCGTTTCAGAGGCCCCACCATAATCGAATACGGAAGTTTTGTTGGAAAAATTGATTAAAGGTCAGTTAGAGATTACAGAAAGGATGGATAAAATGGAAGCTCGCCAAAATATGGTTGAAAGGCAACTAGCAAATCAACCTTCTATATTAAGTACTAAAGTCACAGGGAAGTTACCAGCTATGCCTGAAAATCCAAGGGAGCATGTAAATGCAATTGTTACAAGGAGTGGCAAAATATTTGAAGAACCACCTCTTCCAATCAAAGCATCAATTCCTAAAAAGACAGTTGAGGAGAAGATTGAAGAGATACTTGGTGGTATAGAAGATGAGCCAATCGCTGTGCAAAATAATCCACAAGTTCAAAAGGAAGTAGAGAAACCTGTGAGAAGGTATGTACCCCCATTGCCTTTTCCTCAAAATCGTGAAACAACAAAAGAAAGTAGGTGGAAAAAGTTTTTGGAGATTGTTGAGAGTTTGAAAGTTTCGGTTCCCTTACTTGATTTGCTTTCACAAGTTCCCTCTTATGGAAAATTTTTGAAAGAGATTCTAGCTAAGAAAAAGAAATATGGGGAACGAGAGATGGCAGCTGTGGCACAAGAGTATCAAGCGTTGACCCCGGGAATTGGGAGGAATATACCTAAGCATAGAGATCCGGGGAAGTTCACAATTCCTTGTGTGATTGGAGGCCGACCTTTAAAGGGATCCCTTTGTGATTTAGGAGCTAGTGTGAGTGTTATGCCTCTTACTCTTTGTCAAGGGTTAGGGTTGGGAGAACCAAAACCAATCCAATTCACCTTAGAAATGGCGGATAGATCCATCGTAAAGCCTATTGGAATTCTTGAAGATGTCCCAGTTCGTGTGGACAAGTATTTTGTGCCTTGTGATTTTATTGTGATAGATGTCCGAAGGAACCTAGACGTTCCACTCATTTTGGGGAGACCCTTCCTAGCCACTATTGGAGCAATGATTGATGCAAGGAAAGGGTCCATGATTTTTGACTTTGGGGAGGAAAAAGTGGAATTTAATGTTCTTGATGAGCCAAAAATCATTGAATGCAAGTCAATTTTGCACATCGACCCTACTCTCAAGGTGACACATGATGAGTATTTGCATTTGAAGAGTCTATGGGGTGATGAGATCAAACTCGCGGATCAACCAGGATGAGCACTCCATAACCAGGTTAGGTCGAGCTAGCGACGTTAAACTTAGCGCTTCATGGGAGGCACCCCATGTTATCTTTTATTTATTTCATATTTATTGCTTTCTAGTTTAATTTTATTGCTTTCTAGATTCGTTTTATTTAGTTTTATTGCTTTCTAGTTCGTGACCATTAGTTTTCTCTTTTCTCTTGTTCTACTTTTCTTTTATGTTGCATCAGGGACGATGCAAAGTTTTAAGTGTGAGGGGGAGGAATCATTAATTTGGGGATATTTTTAATTTTTTAAAATTTTGCTTGGATGACTCATATGCTATTTTTGGTGAATAAGTTACTTGTCTTAGCATGCAGTTACAATTATTCTCTCTTGTTGGTTTGTGGTTTGTTTTAGTGGTGCTTGCTGCATCTCAATTTGTGATGGATGATTTGAGGTGTAACACATATTTGATCTATTCTCTTGCCAATAGCTTTGTTAACCACTTAATAATTGGATTAGTTCTTGATCTTGTGTTTTGCATTGCTAGTGAAGGCTTATGTGAGATTCCGGTCATGGGTGTTTTGCTAGAACTTGCCTCATTACTCCCTAAGTGATGTCTAAGTTTTGCATGTTTTGAAGTGATTTAGGCCATTTTTGTTTAGCCATACCCTTTAA